TCCATGTCCCAATCACTAGTGTCTGCTTACAACTGTTCCTCTTCCTTTGTATTTCCATACTTGAAAGCTCAACCTCAGTTGCCCTTTCTGTTATCTACATGTGTTCTGTTGTATCTATCATAGATCACTTTTTAACTGTTATCTCCCATTATATTTTTAATAATTGTCTAATTCTATTAGAAATAGTTGACATAAATGAATACTAATTATAAAAGTAATTATTATTATTTCCTTTATATATTTTTGTTCACTAGCTATAATGGAGAGTGTAAGATGAAATAGTATGCTTTTTAAAACAATCCTTTCTTTCTGTCGTTTTAAGTTTCATAGATATTTGTCTTGGTCTCCTCATGATGTCATAATGTGTGACTTTATAAAACACTTTTTTCTCTCAGTTCAGAAACTATAAAGTCAGAGCATTGACAGAGCTCTGCTCTTTTTGTGCTAGTTCCAAAGGAAGTTTCTCTCTTGTTTTTTTAGACTTGAGTGTGTCCTGGCATCCTTTGACTTACAGGGGGATCACCACAAGCTGCCTTCCCCCTGTGGGCCTGCTTTTGTGTCTCTCCTTCTCATTTGTAAGATGCCACTCAGGAACAGTGAGATTTAGGAACCAACCAACCCACAACCTCCCCTAGCAAGGTCACATGCACTATTTAAAGGAGTTAGAATTTCAGTATATTTTTTATCAGAGTAACAAAGTAGATGTTCATTGAAACTAATAATTAAAAAAGAATATTATAACTAGACCTATGATGAAGAATGTGGCATCAGGATCAGAGGAGGACTTAGCAACAACCTGTATTATGCAGATGACTCAACCTTGCTTGCTGAAAGCAACACTTGCTTCAAAAGATGAATTACTTCAATGTGGATTACATCTCAACATTTAAAAAAATAAAGGTCCTTACCACTAGGCCATTAAGGAACATCATGATAGTTAGAGAAAGAATTGAAACTGATAATTATTTCATCTTACTTGGATCCATAATTAAAGCCCTTGGTACCAGCAGTCAGGAGATCAGGAGACATATTGCTTTGGGCAAATCAGTTGTCCAGGATGTCTCCAAAATACTGAAGAACAGTGATGCCAGTTTGAAGTTGAAGGTGTGTCTAATTCAGGACATGGTCTTTTTTATTCCTTCTGATGCATCTGAGAGTTGGACAATGATTAAGGATGACAGAAAAAGAATTGATGCCTTTGATTTGTGGTGTTCTAGAAGAGCACTGAATATCCCATGGACTGCCAAAATAATGAACAGTTATATCCTGGGAAAAGTGCATCAAGAGTACTCCTTGGAGGCAAGGATGGCAACGATTAATTTCTCGTAGTTTGGAAATGTTACTAGGAGAGTCTATTCCTTGGAAAAGGGATATCATGCTTGGATAGATAGAAGGTCAGCAAAACAAAGGAAGAGCCCCCCACAATAAAATGGATTAACATGATGACTGCAGCAATGGGCTCAAGTGTATCAGAGATGATAAGGATGGCACAGGATAGGACAGGATTGAGGTCTGTTGTTCATAGGGTCACTTTGAATCATACTTGGGTTGATGACACCTAACATCAACAAGAGCAACAACATTAATGTAGTTAAGCAATAACTAGGTATATGTCATCAATCTATTATTTCATGTAGAGATAAAACTTTACAGTTGGGCAAATATAAGAACCAGAGAGAGACATTTGGAATAATTTGCTTCAGTATATTAACACCAACAAGTGAGCTATACTTTATTTTAACGAGTTAAGAGAACCAGTGTTATACATCAATTTCTTTTGGCCAGACGGTGTTTTAGAGACAAATGAATACAACTGTGTACAACATTTGGAAGAAAAGAGTCGTAATATGTTTTATCTTAAATTAAGAATAGTGTAGCTAGTAGTACGCTCTTAACCAAGATTATTTGCATGATTTGATCCTACCTTTTTGCAACTGGTGCCTTATATCAATATCTTAAAATTTGTTTTGTAGACACACTTAACACATAGAGTGCTTAATATTTCTATCATTAAATTCAAAATGAAACCACAGAAAAACAGATCATCAGAAAGAAATAATCTTTTCTATACCTGCAGACCTCCTCCAGTAAGTGAACTCGCACCCAGAGGAACCATGGTTGGTGTAATTTCTGCAGCTGCTATCAATCAGAGTATTGTGTACTCAATCGTTGCAGGAAATGAAGAAGGTAAGTGGAATCCTAAATCTGTCTTAATCATAAACACTAAAGATAAATATGTAATTTATTTTATATTTAGTAAGTACTTTTTAGATTAAAATTGTGCTTCTCTTTAATGTAATGGTATCTACACATCTTTAATCATATTAAGAACAAGATGTTAAAAATAGGACTGTTTTGGATTTTTCCTATTCCTAAGAAAGATATTCTAACAACATGTGGAAATTATCACATGGTATCATTCATATCACATACAAGTAAAATATTACTGAAAATCATTCAAAAAGCAGCTAGAACAGTACGTTGACAAAGAATGACCAGTTCACGCTGTTTAGCACCACGGATATAATTGCTGATGTCAGATGGATCCTGGTTGAAAGCAGAGAATTTCAGAAGAACGTTTATTTGTGCTTGATTGACTGTGGAAAGGAATTTGACTGAATGGATCACAACTATGGCTTACCTTGATAAGAATGGGAATCCCATAACACTTTTATTCATATGAAACCTATACCTAGACCAAGAGACTGTTAGAACGGAACAAGGGAACAATGTATTATTTAAACTTAAGAAAGGAGTGTATCACGTTTTATCCTTTTTCCATACCTGTTCAATCTCGATGCTGAGAAAACTGTTCAAGAAGCTGGACTCTATGAAGAAGAAAGTAGCATCAGGATTGTAGGAAAATTTATCACTAGCCTGTGATATGTAAATGACATAGCCTTGCTTGCTCAAAGTGAGGAGAAATTGAAACACTCGCTGCAGAAGATCAAAGACTACAACTTTCAATATGGATTATATCTTAGCATCAAGGAAAAAAATTCTCACCACTAGACCAATAAATGACATCATGATAAATAGAGAAAAGATTGAAATTATCAATAATTTCATTTTACATGATGGATCCACAATCAGCACCTTTGGTACCAGCAGTCAAGAGATCAGGAGATGTATTTCTTTTGCAGAGTATGTAGTGAACAAAGAATATCTCCAAATTATCAAGTTAATAATACCAATTTGAAGACTAAGGTATGCCTAATTCGAGCCATAGTCTTTTCTATAATCCCTTACTGTACATTTGTCAGTTTGCTGTACTAGAATACCTTGCTTGCTGTACTAGAATACCTTGCTGGCTTCTGGGGTGCTGGTAGCTCTGCCACTGGTTTTTAAATACCAGTGTGTCACCTATGTCGAACAGGTTTCAGTGTGGCTTCCAAATTAAGACACACCAGGAAGAAGGATTGGCCATCAACTTCTGAAATAACTGCCCTTTGAAATCCTGTAAAAGAATGCAGGCAGAGGTAACACCATTATAGTGGAAGACACTAAAAAATGAGCAGAAACAGCTCCAAACATCCATTAATAACTGGAAAATTAAATGAATGAAGTTGGATCTAGAAAAAATTGAAGGGTGTCAAAAATTAAACGGAACACAAAAAGATCTACATTCTAGGCATTAGCAAACTGAGATGGACTGACATTGGTCAATTTAAGCAAGGCAATGATATAATCTGTTATGCTGGGAGTGAAACCTTGAAGGAAAATTATGTTGCATTCCTAAGCAAAAAGACCATTCCGTGATCTGTCTTGAACTACAATCCTTTGAGTGACAGGCTACTATTCATAAACATACTAGAAAGACTTAATACAAATATTACTCAAATATATGCACCATCCATGAAAGCCAAAGATGAAAATTTCAAAGATGAGGATTTCTAGCAACTTTTGCAATCTGAAATTTATTGAACATGCAGTCGATACTCATTAATAATAATTAGTGGCTGGAATGCAAAAGTCAGCAACAAAGTAAAGGAGCTGGGAATACATTGTAGTGATTTTGAAATGTCCACAAAGACTTGGGCTCTTTTCTCTTCAAAGAGGCTTTTCCCTTTAAAAGGAGGAGCCTGCTTTCTCTCCATGCAGGTGTGGACAGGACTACATGACTTGCTTCTAATAAACAGAATAAAACTAAATTACTATGTATGACATACAGTCACTCTGATACCTTATCTTCTAAAATTATATTAAATTTTAAAAAAACTACCTTTGCCAACAAGAAAACCACTAGAATGTTGATAAATGCATTAAGAGAAACATTGATATAGATCATTTCAAAAGCTAGAGAAGGCTTACCAAAAATTAGCCAATTCTTGTGACTTTAATGCATTAGTCTTGTTATAAATAGATGTTTTTAACACTCTTGTTTAAAAAATCAGAAGACTTTTATCAAAGAATTATTTTGTGCTAATAGTACAAAGAAAATGACCAAGAAAATTTTGTATCTTAAATTCTAGGTGCATTTGGAATCAATAACATCACTGGTGTTATTTATGTAAATGCCCCTTTGGACTATGAGACAAAAACAAGCTATGTCCTTCGAGTACAAGCTGATTCCCTAGAAGTGGTCCTTGCCAATCTCCGAGTTCCTTCAAAAAGTAAGTCCTATAATTTAAAGTTTTCACAAATTTTATGACATTTCTACATGTTTTAGCTGTAAGTACAATTCTCCTAAATAAAGAGGAAGATCAATAACTACCAGAGAAGATTTTCTCATTCATTTTAATAGCCAATATATGAAAGCACAGGGAAATAATTTGTAAACGAAATGTCAAGGCATTAATCTGCTCTTTTCAAGCTTTCTATAAAATGGCATTTCTCTGTCATTATTGTTTTAGTTATTGTTATATACCATTTAGTCAACTGAACTCATAACAAATTTATGAACAGATCTAAACCCTGCCCTGTCCTGTGCTATATCCTCAATTTCTCTCATGATATCCTTGAGCCAATTGTTACAGTCACTCTCAGTCCATTCTGTGGAGGATCTTTCTCTATTTCACTGACCCTCCACCTTTCCAAGCATGATTTCCTTTTCCAAGGACTGGCCTCCTCCTAACAGCATGCCCAAAGTATGTGAGACAGAGTTTCACCATTCTTGCATCTAAGATGCACCCTGTTTCACTTTCACCTTTGGTTTTTTTTTCAGTCTGTAGGACATTCAGCACACTTTTTCAAAACTACAACTCAAAGACATCAATTCTTCTTCTGTCGTCCTTAATCATTATCCAACTCTCAGATGCATGGCCAGTAGATGAAAAGACCATGGCTTGGACCAGGTGCATCTTTTAAAAAAAAAACTTATAGTCATTATTATTATTAATTTTAATGAAAATTTAAAGATATTTGGATTTCCATTCATTCATTGTTACACTTTTCTCCCTGCTTACCCTTCCCCTCCAGTTCATTCTTCTCTTTGAAAAGTAAAAGAAAATTCTTACATTGTTAAACAATTCCTCCCCCCCAGGTCCACTCTATTATGCAGCCTTCGTTCTGGATTATGTCCTGACAATAACCTAATCATATATACCTTTTAAATATTTCTCTCTCTCCTCTGTTTTAATGCAGTATACATAATTTATCCCATCTTTCTCAGTCCCCCCCCCCCAACCCCAGTGACAGTCCCATTTTACAACAGTGGCACTGTGCGGTATTTGTCCTTTTGTGACTGAGATATTTCACTCACAGAATGTCTTCCAGGGTCACCCATTTTTAATAATATTGCATGAGTTCCTTGTTTTTCAATGCAGTGTAGTATTCCATTGTGTGCGTATACCACAGCTTCTCTATCCATTCATTTGTTGACATGCACTTTCCAACTCTTTGCTATTGTGAACAAAGCTGCAAGAAACATGGGTGTGCATATATCTGCTTGGGTGGTAGTTATGGTTTCTTTAGGGTGTAATCCCAGTAATGGAATTGCTGTTTCAAATGGTATTTCTATTTGCAATTTTTTGAGAAAACGCCATATTGCCTTCCATAGTGGCTGCACCATTTTACACTCCCACCAATAGTGAATAAGGGTTCCAATATCTCCACAACCTCACCAGCATTTGTTGTTGGCTGTTCTGTTAACTTTTGCTATTGTTACTGGGGTGAGATGATATCTAATAGTGGTTTTGATTTGCATCTGTCTTAGAGCTAGGAATTTTAAACATTTCTTAATATGCTTGCTGGCCATCTGAGTGCCTTCTTTGGTGAAGTGTCTGTTCATATCTTGTGCCCATTTTTCAGTTGGGTTGTTTACTTGTTGCTGTGGTGCTTGAATATTTTATAAATTCTAGATATAAGTAATGTATCTGTCATGTCATTACCAAATACTTTTTTCCCAGTCTGTGACTTCCCTTTTCACCCTGTTGGCGAAATTTTAGGATGTGCATAGCGATCTGATTCTTAGAAGGTCACATTCATCTATTTTATCCTCTCCTGATTGTAGATTTTTCAGAATACTTGGAAGCTGTTCATGTTGTTGAGTAGGACATCTAGAGTTCTTGAAAGCTTTTCTTTAATGAAATTTATAGTCCTGGTTTTAGTCCTAGGTCCATTATCCACCTTGAGTTGTTTTTTGTTTACTGGGTGAGGTGTGGATCTTGCTTGAGTTTTCTGCAGATAGTTTTCCAATTTTGCCAGCACCATTTGTTAAAAAGGTTGTCATTTCCCCACTTAACTGATTTCATCTCCTTGTCAAAAATTAGTTGACCATAGGTAGATGGGCTGATTGCTGGGTTCTCAATTTTATTCCATTGATCTATGTGTCTGTCATTGTACCAGTACCAAGCTGTCTTGACCACGATGGCAGTGTAGTAGGATTTGAAATCAGGGACATAGATGTCTCCTACCTTGTTTCTCTTTTTAAGGAGTGCTTTGCTTATTTGGGGCTTCTTTCCATTCCATATGAAACTGGTGATTGCCTTTCCATTTCACTGAAGAATCGGATTTGTATTTGTATTGGGATTGCATTGAATGTGTAAATTGCCTTTGGTAGTATTGCCATTTTCAAGACCAAGTACATCTTAGTCTTCAAACTGACATCAATGGTCTTTAAGTATGTTAAATAATAATAAACTTGACTCAATTTTTTTATTAAGCCAAGGAATATTTATGAAAAATATGTTGTTAATGAATGAATATCTGTTATTGTTTTTAGTTACTATTGAGTCAGTTGAGAAAATACAATACTATGTATTCAACAGAATGGAATACTGCTTGATCATGCTAGGCTTTCCCAGAATTGTGTGGCTTCTTACTTCGCTGTATGTTCTTAGCACAGAGGAAAAAAAAATAATCCTAAAGTTGATGACTATATTTATTGTAGCTTTCCTACTGAAATCATATTTAATTTACACAATTCTATGAAATGAGAATTATCATCCCCATTTTACAAAGATATAAATGTAAGAAAAGATTAAGTGCTTTGATTTTTCAATGACCCAACTGATAACTTAAAAATTCAAAATTTAAGCTCACCTTTGTTTGACTCCATAATTTCTTTGGCCAATCAGTGCATATAATGTACCCATACAAATTGGGCAAACAAAAGTCAAATAGTAAAAAGGGTACAGAATATAAGGAAGGTTAGCTGTTATGGACTAAACACTAGACTCTTCCATTCACACCTTCAATAAACATCAGATCAACAATGCACCTAGTTCTAATGATACAGTCACTTTTAGAATCTAGGAGTCCCATGGATATTTAATTTATTTAAGCCTTCATCTAGAGTCCCAGTTGGAGTATGAAGTGGGAAGTGGAATTCAGAATAGTTTCTTTTCATGCTGAAGGCATTCTTGGACATTTTATCTCAGCACTCCATCGTTCAGAGGGAGGAGATAAAAGTAGATGAGAAGCAGAGCAAAAGTAACAACAAGTATTGCATACCAGAAGAGGCTCATAAGATGTTAGGAAGAAGGTGAATTCAACGAAAATAGACATAGGATTCAGTATAGATTTTTTAAGCAATAATTGATAACCCTAAAAATTACTCACTTCTTTTGTTTATTCTAAACCTCACTTACTGATCTAATGTGGAGAGTTATACAGTCTCTTGTATAAGTATGAACTAAGTATCAAATAATGTGCAGTGTATATTTTTAACTCTGGTGGCCTGGTGGCAAGAAGCTGCAATGCAGTCCCAATGACATGCGGTTCAAGACCATCAGATACTCTGTGGGAGAAGAATGGGTAATCTCCTATCATGTGATTACTGTCTCTGACAACCTTCCAGAGGATCAGCTATGGGTTAGTTCCAACTCCATGGTACGTTTTTAAATCTTTAAATTAGAGACAATATATTTTTCTAACATCATAAAGAATGTTTCAAATTATACACTGAACTAAGTAAACCAATTATAAAAGTAAAATGGCTAAAAAAATAAAAAGGTTAGATGTTTTAAATTAGGCAATGTAAATTTACAGAAATGATGTTATAGAACAGAGTTCAAGTCTTTTGTACAAAGCTGAGTAAATTCGACTCGAGGACACTTAACCACTGCTAAATGAAGCTAGTGCTGTTTTATCTGGATGAACACTCTTCCACTTTTCACATCACTCTTTGTCAATGTGCTGTATGAGGTAACCTGGGTTTGCTATGCTGCTGAACCTTGTGCCACTGGAGTTTCAAATACTAAAATGGTTTCCCACTGTGGACAGTGTTTGGTGGAGCTCCCAGTTGTAAAACAGGTTTGGAAGCAGGATTGGCATCCACTTCGTAAACCACATGCCTCTGGAAACTCGATGAACTTGGAGAGAGGACGATAGTTATGGAAAGTCATTAGGTCCTTTGTTCATAAACTCGCTATGAGTTGTGCTCCACTTGAAGGCAATCAACAACACAACAACAACAATGTAAATTTTATTACCACAGTATAAAATAAACCAGAAAGAGGTAACTGAACACTGTATTTGTCAATGTTACTTGAAACAAATGAAAAGTTCAATTTAAAAAGGAAACTCTTCTAAATATTTAAGGTCAAAAACTTGGCACTTATATGTGGATATTTTCAAATACTTTATCAGAATTAACAGATCAAGGCTTCATTGATGCAAGTTAAGTCACTGTAATCTAAGTCTAATAATCGTTTAGCTAATGCACACATATGTAGTATATACTTCCATGTGACTCAAAATGCATGTAGAAGTAATAGCAATTAACAAACATAAGAATTTTCTTCTCAGAAATGCAAGAAATACAAAAAGTGGACATTAAGTTTGCTTAATATCTAATGCTCACACACTGCTGCTAGGACTTCATAAGTAATCTTTGCTCTTTAAAATTGAAATTCAAAATCTATGTATTTTAACACAATTTCATTTAATGATGACTGTTAATGACCTTTAATCAACCTGTAGTCCATTAGCTATACAAATAATAAGATCTTTATGTAAATTGATGCTAATGAATTGTCTTAAGATTCAGTGAGCTTCTTGTTGGTCTTGAGTTTCACCATATAACTTGAAAAAAGATAATAAACAGAATTTTAATTTATACAAGAATGTTTTTATGGTGTTTTGGGGCTTTTTTTAAAACAAGAATTTGTTAATGACATCCTTCTTAATCAAAGTTTTATGGCTGTGCTGGACTGGATTTTATGTGGAAATG